AACTTGGCTCTCTGAGCTCGGTAGAATTCCCTCAACTTGGCTATGTGCTTGTTGAACCCTTCGTCGCCCCACTTCCGGAGCAGTTCGCTCACCATTACCTAAGGAGGTTCTCGTCATGAGGGTTTTAAATGGTCTGTTGTGGTGGGGTTCGAATTGGGAAGAAAATTGTATCTTATGGGTTATATGATTTTGTGAAATGAATAGATATTAATAAAGAAGTGGGATTTTATGGGTTCTAATATCTTGTGAAATACCAAATGATAAAAATAAATAAATAATAATCAAGAAATTATATCTTATTGGTTCTAATGCTTGTGAAACAACAAAATATATATAATAATTAAGAAATGATATCTTATGGCTTCTAATATCTTGTAAAATACATAAATAATAATGATGATACAGAATAATAAAGAAATGATATGCGTTCTAATATCTTGTAAAATGAACGAATGCTGATAACAATAAACAATAATAATAATAATAAAAATATCTTATGGCTTCTACTATCTTGCGAAACGAATAAACACTAAAAATCATCAATAGATCATCATCAATCTTAAAAGAACTCAAAATTTAAAAAAATCAACAAATTCATCACGATTATAAGCTGATAAACTAAACTAAAGTCAGCATCAAATGACGAAATTGCTTCACTTGCCGTTAAAGTGTTCATTGGGTTTTAATCATCCCAAAATTATTTTACACTTACAAAATGTGAAATATTCTAAATCTAATTGACACTTTGATGTTGGGACGCCTAAGTATGGCATGTATTTCGCTATGCTGTTGGCACTCATCCAGTAACATAAATAATAATAATAATAATAATAATAATAATATTAATAATAATAATAATAATAATAATAATAATAATAATAATAATAATAATAATAATAATAATAATAATAATAATAATAATAACAATAATAATAATAACAATAATAATGATAATAACAATAATAATAACAACAACAACAACAATAATAATAAAAATAATAATAGAAGACAATAATAATGATGATAAAAAAAATAATAATAATAATAATACAATAACAATAATAATTATAATATCAATAATACCAAAATAACAATAATAATAATAATAATAATAATAATAATAATAATAATAATAATAATAATAATAATAACAATAATAATATTAATAACAAAAACAACAGCATATAATAATTTGAATGGGTGACAAAAATGACAATAATGATGATGATGATGATGATGATGATGATGATGATGATGATGATGATGATGATGATGATGATGATGATGATGATGATGATGATGATGATGATGATGATGATGATGATGATGATGATGATGATGACGGCAATAATAATATCAATAATAATAACGGTAATAATATTAATAATAATAACAATAACAATAATACCAGTAATGATGATAATAATAATAATAATAATAATAATAATAATAATAATAATAATAATAATAATAATAATAACAACAATAAGCATCATCATCATCACCATCACCATCACATCACCATAATAACAATAACAATAATAATAACATCTGCAACCACGCCATCCACACCTTCACGCCATACCTGCGTGATCCCGGGCGGGCACAGGACACTCGCCTGCATATGCCACGTCATCCTCTCGAGCAGCGGCGTCGGCCCCGTCACGTAGCCCACCCTGAGGCCGGCGCTGAAGATCTTGGAGAAGGAGTCGAACCTCAGGACTCTCCCGTCCGTGTCCAGCCGCAGGAAACTCGGGGGCAGTGGCTGGGGGGGGGGCGGTAGGACGTTGGTGGGTTAGGGTGAGTGGATTCATCATCGTTGAGGGTCTATTAAAGGCGCTGTCACACTAGCCCCCTTTCCGTCATTTTTTTTTTTGACAATTTTATTTAACATATATACAAACATTCTCGAATATAGCTCTTGATCTGACTTTGCTTGGCTGAAAAAGTTGACGGAAAGGTTTTCAGACGGAAACGATCAATATCGTCTGACTGGAGAATCGGCAATTCGCTCAAAAATGGACAAAATTTCAGAAAATTTTAAACAAAAATGACGGAAAAAGTGCTAGTGTGACAGCACCTTAACTGAACTTAAATCAAGGTGTTGGTGGGTTAGGGTGGGTGAACTTATCATCGTGAGGGTCTATTAAACAACTTAAATCAAGGTGTTGGTGGGTTGGCTGGGTGAACTTATCATCGTGAGGGTCTATTAAACAACTTAAATCAAGGTGTTGGTGGGTTGGCTGGGTGAACTTATCATCGTGAGGGTCTTTTAAATGAACTTAAATCAAGGTGTTGGTGGGTTTGGCTGAGTGAACTTATCCTCGTGAGGGTCTATAAATTGAACTTAATTCAAGGTGTTGGTGGGTTAGGCTGAGTGAAATTATTAGCATGAGGGTCAATTTGTAGGTTGGAATGAACTTATTAACATAAGGGTCTATTAACTGAACGAACTTAAATCAAAGTGTTGGTGGGTTAGGCTAAAAAAAATATTATCATAAACGTCTATTAACTGAACAAACAAATAAATTTGTTGGTATGTCAGGCTGGACAAACTCTTAACCAAGGTCTAATATTTTTTTACTGACCTTGCTCTCAACAAGGTTTTGATTGATTAGGCTGAGTGAACTTAATTTCAGGGTGTGTGTTGGTAAGTTAGGATGAATAAACTGGTGTTGGGAGGTTTGTTGACTGAATTGCATCTATCTGTATTTCTATCGATTTTGATTTATCTGTCTATCTTTATCTATCTATCTGTCTGTCTTAATCTGTCTATCTGCCTGTCTATCTACCCATCTATCTATCAAACTATCTATCTATGTCTTAACCTATCTGTCTATCTCTCTATCTATCTATTTATTTAACCACATAACTATCTATCTATCTTTTGATCATGGTGCTGGTAGGTTGAACTGAATAAACCCTCATAATGGTTATGGTAGGACTGAATAAACTTTTATCGAGGTGTTGCTACATATATAAACAAGCTTATTATCAAGATAGCAAATTAACTGAACAAACTCCATTCGAGTTGCTGGTAGATTAGGCTGAACAATCTTATCCTCAAGGTGTTGGTCGATTGAACACACATTTATCACACGCAGAAAGTTCCCTGATAATAATTACACGTTACAAGACATTTACAATATATCTTACTTCCTGGTCGTCATACTGCAAGAAGTAGTAAGGGTCGTCCTCGAGGATAATGAGGTCGTACTCGGAGGCGATGCTATAGATCTCCCTCCGCCGCGCCTCGTCCATGGTGGTCCCCGTGGGGTTGCATGCGTTAGGCACCAAATACATGACCTGTGTTATCAAATTCCAGTGTTTAGGAAGGTGTGTTGATGGAACAGCTGGGAAAAATCGTGGCTTTTTACCCCCTCTTTGAAATGAAGGGTCGATTCTATTCCTGGGAAAAAACTATCTATTGCCTACTTGACATAAAAGGTCCATTATCTACTTGAAATAAAGGTCAATTTCATTCCAGGGAAAAACTATCTATTACCTACCATTATCTACTTGAAATAAAGGGTCTGTTCTATTCCTAGGGAAAAAACTGCAAGAAAATAGGTTGACTTTATGGCTAAGAAATCATAACTACTCTGCTCTCTCTCTCTGAAATAAAAGGTCACAAAAGGTCGCATGCACTGACCTTGGGCACAGGTCCTCCATCCTGCGCTGCCCTTTCGAGTCCTTTCCTCAGCGACAACGGACACATTCCCCTCTCGTCAGCGGACACGACCACGAACTTCGGCGTCAGTGGGGCGAGCTAGGTGATATAAAACCGAATTTCTGTGACCTTTGTTGTGGTTATTTCCTGTTATGAATGTGGTTGTTTAGATGATGATGGCGAGGATGGGATAAAACGAGAGGGAAGATAGGGTGATGTGATAGGGTAGATAACATACTGATACATTGGTCATATCGCACACTTACACACTTACACACTTACACACACACACACACACACACACACACACACACACACACACACACACACACACACACACACCACACACACACACACACACACCACACACACACACACCACACACACACACACACACACACACACACACACACACACACACACACACACACACACACACACACACACACACAACACACACACACACACACACACAAACACACACACACACACGCACACACACATGGGGAGGGATAGAAGGGGAAGGAGAGAAGAAAAAGGGGACGGAAGGAGAGATAGATGGGAAGGAGGAAGAATGGGAGGAGGAAGGGAGGGACAGGAGGGAAGAATGGGAGAAAGGGAGGGATAGAAGGGAAGGAAGGGAGAAGAAGGGGACACAGGAGGGAATAACGAGAACACAGGACCACCTACAATGCACAGAACATCCGAATAGCAAGGCTCCTGCACCACCACGCAGTCCTCGGGGTCCAAGAGCATCTCCAGCGCCTTCGCCAGCCCGTCCTGACAGCCGACGGTCACCAGGAGGTCGCTCTCACCCCAGCGCGGAGGACTGTGGTTCCGGAGGGTCATGTCCTTCAGCTGCTGGACCAGGGGGATGTACCTGACGAAGGGGCAGAAGGAGGAGAGGTAATGAAGTGTTGTTTATATGTGGAATGGTGTAAAATATTTAATATGATATAATAATTTAATATTGTAAAGTGGGGGGGAGACTGTTGTTTAGTATGTAGAATGGAATGGTGTAAAACATTTAATATGATTTAATAAATTTCGTAATGTAGAGTGGGTAGAGATCTGAAATGCAGTACCTTGTTATTTATCATTGTTTTTTTCGATTTTTTTGTGTGATAAAACAAAAAATAAACATAAACAATCACTAAAAACAACGACTTCAACAACAACAAACACACAACCACAACAACAAACACAACTACAAACCCCGCACCACCCCCACCCCACCCTCACCCCACCACCACCACCTCGGCCTCTCGGAAATCTCACCCCGGCGTCGGTCCGTACTGCAGCCCGGTCGCCATGAGGTCCCCGCCGAGTTCGAGGACAGAGCCGTCGCTGAGCCTGACGGTGGCCTCGCGAAAGGGGAACAGCTGGGGGTTGGGCATTCCCGAAGCCAGCCACACCAGCGAGGGAGAGGGCTCGGCCAGGTACTTCCCTGTGGAGAGTGAGGGTGGGTTGAACTGGGTGGGGGTGGAGGGTGGGAGAAGAAGGGAAGGAGGAGGAGGAGAGGAAGAAAGGAGGGAGGGAGGAGGGATAAAGGGAGAAGGGGGAGAGAAGGGAAGAAGGAGAGGGAGGGAGATATAGAAGGGGAGGGAGGAAGGATAGAAGAGGAGGAGAGGGAAGAAAGGAGGGAAGGGAAGAAGGAGAGGGAAGGAAGAAATGAAGGGTAGTGGAGGAGAGAGGCATAAAGGAGAGGGAAGGAGGGAGGAGAGGATAAAGGAGGATAGGGAAGAAAGGAGGAGGGAGGGATAGAAGGGGAGGGAAGGGAAGAAGGAGAGGGAGAGGAATGAAAGGGAGTGGAGGGAAAGAGGAAGGGATAATGGGAAGGAGGAAGGGGCAGAAGGGGAGGGGAGGGAAGAAAGGAAGGGGAAGGAGGGAGGGATAGAAGGGGAGGAGAGGAAGGAGGGAGGAGGGGATTAGGAGGGAGGATTTGAGGGGAGGGCGGGGAGGGACGGAGAGAGAGGGGGAATGAAGGGGAATAAGGGCAGAAGGAAGCATGTTGAAACCATTTGACTCTGGACTGTGAGCAAGAGTGCGAATTTAATTGTTTTTCTAGGTTGATAATGATTGTCAAAAGGTTTCTGTAAACATGTGCATATTCATACAAACATGATCATTAATTATATCTTTATATTTACCTCTATCCATCTACTGGCCTATCTACATATTTAGATATCTATTTATACACGTGTATTTTGTGTGCATACATAGAGAGATACAGATCTATATAGTATGTTTACAGTGCGCATTAGAGTTGGACTTACATCTAAAATACCTAAAATACTCACGCATTTCGCTGATTCCAGATGGCTTTCGATTTGAAGACATCTTTGATATGAACTTCGAATAATCCATCCTGCAAATTAAATAATACAAAATTAAATAAAACAAGATACCGGAAGATTGCACCAACTGCTCTCCATTTCAAGATCCGTTTTCTTTGATGCGACGCGCACTCTCGCGTCCCTAATACACACTCAACGGCGTCGACTTGTTTAGTAAACAATCTACAAAGAAAATACACCTATAAACAAGAGTAAATCAAGAAAAGAACATATATTAAGCTAAAAGTCTTGAGAGAATGAGGTAACAGAAATCGAAACGGATATTGGACCAGCCCTTCAGTAGGACAGCAGAGCGATGTGTTCCGATGAATTTTCACCGTACCCACACCAGGCCCAATTATTATTAATTTCAAACGCGGTAGATTTAAGGCAATTTTTACTTACTGACATGCGTGTCATATCCAGACTACTACTGTTAAATCGTAATAATAAAAAATAATATTTGGCAATAGCGTCACTGATGCAGCAAAGATATTCACACGAAGAATTACATTAAAATCACCTCTTTCTCAAGTACACCCGTGACGTCCGTGTTTTCCTACCTAGCAGTGCTGATAAATCCTTTAAAAAATCCTGGATCATGAGGGCTAAGACACCTCGGGTAAAAATTTCACAAAAATCTGTTAATATTGTTTGAATTCTGGGCAGGATCCGGATCATGGTCAGGATCAGCATCTAAATTTAACGGCATTTAAATCGGGCTCAGATACAACTCTAGTAATTATTTCATAAAAATCTGTTCGTAACCTCATGAGGCATCCTGCTAAGCAACTAATAACTAACAAACTAACCAACGCTACCAAAAACACTATCTTCTTGGCGGAGGTAATAATAATAATGGTAAAAATGATGATAATGGTAGAATTGATAAAGGTGACAATACTGACATGTATAATGATAAAGGTAATACTTATAACAAAAACTAATAAAATAATAATAACTGTGACAATAATGAGAATAATGATGATTAATGCTGATATTGATGAAGATGATAGTAATAATAATAATAATAATGGTAATAATAATAATAATAAAACAAAAAATTACAATAATACTAAAAATAATAACAAAAAATCTAAATTGTAATAATGATGGATGATGATGATGATGATGATGATGATGATGATGATGATGATGATTGATGATGGATGATGATGATGATGATGATGATGATGATGATATGATATGATGATGATGATGATGAATGATGATGATGATGGATGATGATGGATGATAATAATGATGATGATGATGATGATGATAATAATGATAATAATAATAATAATTATTATTATTATTATTATTATCATTATTATTAACATTATTATAACATTATAAAATAATAAAATAATATAATAATAATAAAATTTAATAACAATAATAATAATAACAGTAATAATAATGATAATTATGAAAATTATTTTAGAAATATATATTAATACTAAAAACAATAACTGTAAAATGGCAGTAACAATAATAATAATAATAATAATATTATTATTATTATTATTATTAAAAGTGGCAATTAAAGGGATGCTAATGCGACACATACAATAATGTTCAAACCATAATTTAGATGGAAAACCTTTAATCACTACTACACTTTGACATTCGCATCTATAAATCATTTCACTGTGGGTTATATTATTAGGGTAATTTTCTATATTACGTCCGCCGCTCCGACATCGTCACCCCTGCTATCGGGGCCAAGTTTGTCGCTAAGGGTGGGTTTCCGCGCAATAAAACCTACATATTTCCATTGTATGGAGTGAGAGGAATCCAACGATACCAAAATCGTCGATGTCGGAGCGGCGGACGTAATATAGAAAATTACCCATATATTTTATTGCACTACACAGGCGTACCTATGTATAAATTCCCAAGCTTATTGAGATACAAATAACAATCAATTTCCAATGTCATTTAATAATTATATACTCACAAATTTACCCTCATATGGTTATGGAAGTAGAGGTATAACATCTGTAGATTTCTCAAAAGATAAAGAAATATGATAATATAATGATAAAACCTTGAAATAATTACCTGAACTTTATTAATCAACTGTTTAAGACCAAGGACAACGTGATGTGTATTTAAAACCCTCGACTTTTCTCAACGTGATAAGATTGTCCTGGCCAAGCTAAGGAGGAGGGAGAGACATCCACCACCCATATAGCTGTCACAATCCCGCTGTGTCCTTGAGCATACTGGCACCGTGGATGTGCATGTGCCACTGTTGTCTTGGCAGTTGGGTTGGTTGAGAGTATCGTACGCTGGTCGAGAAAGTGTCGCACTTACACACACACACACACACACACACACACACACACACACACACACACACACACACACACACACACACACACACACACACACACACACACACACACACACACACACACACACACACACACACACACGTGCGCGCGCGCGCGCATCTATCTATCTACATTATATATATATATATATATATATATATATATTATATATATATATATTATATGTGTGTGTGTGTGTGTGTGTGTGTGTGTGTGTGTGTGTGTGTGTGTTGTGTGTGTGTGTGTAACAATTTTAAAAAAATTATCAGCAATAATGATGATGCCAGTGTCAATAATAACTGTGATGATGAAGATAACAATAAAAATTGTAATAATAATTATAATAATGATAACAACAGTGATAATAATAATAGTAATAATAACACTTATAACGATGATAATAATGCTAATACAATAATAATGATGATCACGATAGTAATAATAACAATAATAATAGCATAAAGAAGTCTGACAATCACTTCATATAATTACTATCAATAAATCATTTGAACTGAATGCTAATGTTCTAATTTATAATGACGAACGTGTCATGAAATATACGTGTTAAGTTCCTTACATACATCCTACTGGGGTGTTTGCCACTGGGGCCTGAAAAAAAGAGAAATCACATGGATATAAAAATGGATGTCGTATATTGATATAATATGCACATTCGCGCACACACAAACATTCACTCTGTCTGTCTGTCTGTCTGTCTGTCTGTCTCTCTCTCTCTCGGAACCTGCACTCAAGGGGGCTTCATCTAGGTTAATCTAATTATGCGCACTTTATTTGCGATAGACATAATTGGTATATTTGCGATTCTACAATATCTGTATGTGGACTTTACCCTGGAGCTTCATAGACAAACCTTCCCAATAATATCAATTCATTTTTTAATTCATTTATCTTTCAGATTTTAAAACAGAACACCTACCGGCAAGCTACGTGCTGCCCTTTGCTATGATGATAATGATCTTAGTAATACAATTGAAAAGATTAATGATGATGACAGACAATGTTAAAAGTATACAAAAGATGACGTAGAAGCTGTACTAATATAAACTACCCAACAACTTGCGTGGTATCATACGCCGCGGAAATCATTGTACTTCTGGCAACTGTAATGAGGGAGGTAGTATGCCAACTGTAAAATTGTTCTCGATTTTATTCTGCCTTCTTTTCGATGTTCTCAAATAATATTTGCTTCCTTTTGAATTGCTTTTTTTATGTCATCTGTCATAATGGAGTTGATATGTTTATTCTTTATGGAATATCTGTGGTATCGCATTTTAGGTTAGCTACCAGTGTCGAAATAACTACCATTTCTTTTTTTCATTTTAAAGAGATCATAAATATCATTTCTCTGTCGGGTGAATTAAAAAAATAAGTTAATGAAGAAAGGCTCGTGTTATAATAATGTTTAGGTGAGGAGTTTACTGTATTATGTTTCTGATAAAACTAAGGTGTCACAGTGACAGGACAGAATTACTTGATTTGTAGTTGTTGTTGTTGTTGTTTGAGTGAATATCAAATTATAACATGACAATAGATATATACGAAAAAATCAGGACGAAGATGATGATAGTATACTATTCTTATAATTATTATCATTATTTTTATGTGTTAATTACCTGCCATATCAAACGCAATTCATGTCTCACCCCTTCTCTAAAATAATATAGCAGGATATCTTATTCTTAACAACTGGCAAGAAGCAGAGCAGACACTGAAATGTGTATATGCCAATATTTAATCATCTTATTTTTATTTACTCTTTTTTAACCCTAATAATGAATATTCCAAAAGTATTTCATGGTGTGCCAATAGACTGACCTATGTAGAATCCCTGTACTTTTAAAAACAATTATTTTAGCAATTACATTAACTATGCTCATTATCATTTCTAACTTGTTGCAGAGGATAAAGAGGCAAATGTGAAGGACGGGCAGCTGCTTCTCCAGTTTAATAACTCTGACCAGTTAATAAATTTCCAGATGCTATTCCACTAACCTTCACCTCTTCATAATATTGCAATGAGCTTCACTGTGATTCTTGCAAGTATTGTGGCATGCACCCTCATGCACAACTGCTTGTAAATGTCATACCCTGCCTAGGAAATCCCTCGGATCATCTACAACCCATGGAGAAGACATGCATTACTTCACTATAATTTCTGTACTATTTAAGATTCTGGCTCTTCGACCTACAGTATATCTCCTTGTGAAAATATTTTATTCAAGATATGTTCACCTACCTGAACTATGTATTAGGTGAATATGAGGTTGTAGGTAAACAAAACTGCACAATAATTTTCATTTTATTCATAGTATGTAAAACAATGCTACTTGATAACCAACAGTATGGTAAATGGCACTGATAGTTAGCAGCCAGTTGAACTACATAAACTTTTATTTTCTGAAATATCAAATCATATAATTTCCACTGATGTAAAACCTGATGCAAATGAATGGTCATGAAGTAAAAAGCATCAATAGTTTTGTACTTACATTGAGGTAATACATTTTAAGCAGCCTGTTAAAAAAGAGAAGCTGATTATGGAGGCACTTTTTTCCGTTAAAACCAACGGTATGAAATGTAATTTTTGAAATGGTAACAACTTATAACAGAAGACACACAGAGTTTATCTGCCTTGAGCACTGAAGACTAGAAAGATATATATCAGTGAAGACACGAAGTGCATAATAATTCATCAATACACAAAGTACTTCTAGAGAAAAGCACAAAAGGTCTACTTATCTATAAAAAAACAACCCATGTTTATGCATTTCTTTTCATCTTCTTAAGAAAATTTTAATGAAATAATTCACAAGGCTGGATGAAATGTGCTGACAAGATTAAGTCAATTTAACAATTAAAACAAAAAATAGGTAGCAATATTTTTCATGTGGCACTATAAAATACATCTTTACCTGGTCATTCAGCCCAGGCTTATCAGCACCTTTTTTTCTCTTGGGACATCTACTAAATTATAAGATGCTGACTGGCTTTAACACTAAATATATGGCTTCTCATAAAAAGGAAGAAAAAATAATTACATCACAACATTGATAACTACAAAAAAATCATAAATAATATACAATGATCAAACCTAATAGCTGTAATAAAAAAATAAAAAAATAAAAAATAAAAAATATAAAAAAAATAAAAAAAATAAAAAAAAAGTCAATTTAGTCTTTCCTTTTCAAAGCTAAAGTCTTATACGTCTACTTATACATCACTGCAAAGCTGTAATGGACTTCTTGTAAGGTGCAAGAAAGACAGCATGAAAAGTGTATAGCATGAACAAGTTACCTTTATGATTGTAAATTCTGAAACCATAATCTCTTTTCAGAAATCTCAGTAACTTTATGTTTAGAGTCACTGGTAGATTCCAGTTCTAAAAGTAGAGGAGATTCCAAGTTCAAATTGACTGTTACTTCGTCTTTGTAAATATCATATTAATCATGTCACTGAAAATGATGGTTATTTCTTATTTGTCTACTTCCTTGTTCTTGTTCTTTTTCTTGTTCTTGTTCTCCACCTCTTCTCTTACTACTACTACTACTACTAACACCTACTATCACTACTACTAACACTAATACTATCACTACTACTATCACTACTACTAATAATACTACCAATACTACTAATAGTAATGCTACTACTACTCCTGCATCTGCTTCTAATGCTATTCTTAATCCTTTTTTCTCCTTGTTCTTCATTGTTTCATATCTACATTTATAACACAATAAATATCAAGTATCTAAAATAAAACATATTCTGATCATCTTACCTTTAAATGTATGCAAGGATATGATATTCTATAGCAACACCACATTAAGATTTCAAGAATCACACTTAGCACTTGGACTTTAGTACTGTAAAGACAGATTTACTGAAGATGATTATAAACAATTATCAATTTACAACATTCACAAAGAACTGCTCAATACTTATTTTGATGGTTACATATTTCATACAAATGTCAACATCAAGAATGATTATGCAGTAAGCAATGGCAGAAATTTCCTTTTGTTCTTTATTTATAAAACAAGAATCTAAATTATAAGACAATGCAAAATCTGTACTCATTGTTTGACAGAACACCATCCTCTGAATAAGAGTTCAACTTGGTCTTGAAGTTGAAATCTTTCACTTAAGCTTTCTGAAGTTCGAGTTCTTCTCGTATCAAGTCAGACAAATTCTTTAGACCCTGGAAAAAATATATCTATAAGCATATAATATATAATGACAAATGAGTAAGAGTAATACTATAAGTTAATACATAACCACCCACTACTTAAAAGTTTATAGATATCATGTGTTCATAAATACCTACATGTTCTAGCATGCATATGACTGTGATCATAAGAATTTATTAGCACAGATTCATGCATGTACAACAGTGCAGCTAGTATTTCCTATGACTAGTTTTGCCACTGTCTTTTAATAAAACCAATCCTACCTTCTCCATCTTCTCTGGAGTGACAATGGAAAATGCAGCTCTCATATATGAACAAGGTGTGGTAGGATCACACATGAATGCCCTGCCGGGTACAAGAATAACATCCTTTTTCAAAGCTCTATTCAGGATCATTTCCCATGTTTCACTCACACCAGGTACCTGTTTGCAAAAAAATGAAATGGAATGTCAGGAAATTCATACTATGGCCTAAAAGTATCTGAAGAATTTTAAAATACTATTCAATTTCTGCAAGATATAGAAGTGAAAAAAAGTCACATACTGGAAAGATTACCCATATAAGGTAGGATCTATAATTCACAAAGATATGACATGTCCACAGGAGGCAGTCAATGTAATCCATGAAAACTAATCTCACATTCTCTTCAATAATTATGACCACAGGTAGACATTAGGTTGTCTGTATGCACTGACACAAAGGGATGCGAAATTAATACCTTTGTATTTGCACAAGGGGAGAGGATGGCAAAAACTAAGGAGTACCAAAAGGGCTTTACATAAAAATTGGCACTGAATTTTAGGCAGATTTTATATAAGGATTCCTTACACATTCCCATAGTTTTCCTGTTACATCTTATCCCAACTTATACACTTAAAACTCACCTTGAGCCAGAGGAACATTCCACCTGTTGGAACAGCCCATTCACATAGACCTGAAAAAGAGAAGATATCTCATAAAAAACACAATCCACTGCTTATACTTATAATACACTCAAATATTAATGACCATTTATTATTTACCTTTACTTACTGCAATGGCTCTACTTTTTTATGTTCTATAAATAAAATAAACAGGGATACATTAAAAGATAACCATCTTTCAGAGGCAACATACCTGTAAGGTGTTTTTCTGCTGCTTCCAACATGGCTTCTCTCTGCTTCAAGTAAAACTCTTGAACTGCTTCTGTATGTTTCAGGAACCCATCCTCTCCCCACATTTCAAAAAGCTCACTAATTAGCACCTGAAATCATATGCCAGTAATAGAAGCATTTTTAATTCCTCAACCCCCTTATCAAACTATTGTATTTCTTATATTAAAGAATTTGTTAAAAGGAATATCACAAATATTCGCACTTGTGAATATGAGGAGATACGAGCCACCCTTCTCCAAGACAAAGAAACATAACAATATACACAGCCGTTTTAAATATCAGATAAAAATTATACGTACATGATATCTTACCTGCAGACATTCATCTATGCTCTATTACCTGTGACATGGAAGATGCATGTAGAATCGAAACTTGCTTGTGTAAAACAATCCTCTCGACAAGCGGCTTTGGCCCAGTTACATAGCCCAGTCGAAGTCCTGAGCTCAGTACTTTGGAGAAGGAATCAAACCTTAAAACTCTTCCTTCTGTATCCATACTGAGAAAACTGGGAGGGAAGTCCTGCAAGGCATTGGCATGTATAAAGAGGTTAAGTTTATAACCAAATGAAAAATTCAATATTGATATCTGCAATAAGCAAAGAAAAACCAAATCTGTTAAATCAAAGCAGATGCAGCCCATGATATGTAACAATCACAAAAAAACCTAATAAATGCATTGAAATACTCACCTTTAAGTTTCCAAACTGTACAAAGTAGTATGGATCATCTTCAAGAATTATAAGATTGTATTCCGAAGCAATGTCATATATTTCCCTACGTCGTTTCTCGCCTACAGATACTCCAGTTGGGTTGCATGCATTTGGGTTGATGTACAGTACCTAAACATTGGCATAAAATGGTAAAAATATATCACTATGGTCTACTGCACTGTATATGATAGAATCACAATGCCATTTTAAAAATAATATTGCAAAAACTAATCATCTTGCAGCTTAAATATCAGAAACATTTACTGACCATACAAGTCTTCATTCATGAATACTAAAAAAAAAAAAAAAAAAAAATAATTGTTATCTATACAAAATTCTGTAACAAAAACTGTAGAGAAATCATTTAAATATTTTTCCTTATCAATCTTACTTTTGGAACTCCTGTCTTGACATCTCTAATTTCTTCTGGTTTCCACTGGGACAACGCCTCTTTTAAGGCTTTAGGATTCATGCCTTCATGATCACACTTCACTGCTACATAACGTGGTTCAAAAGGGTTTAGCTGTCGAAGAAAATAGTTACATACATACAGGAACAACTTTTTAATGTGGAACTTCAGGAGCAATGTACATCAGCTCAACTATGGATTATAGTCAAATTCTTTAAAAAAAAAAAAATACCTACTACATAGTGCTTAGCTAAAACAACAATATGGCTATGGACTGTAACTTACATATCTAGTTTACTAAACAGATCAGAAATCTTCTAATATACCCAAGACATGATAACAATACCTGCCAGTGTACAAATAAATCTTCCAAATAAAACACCAATGCCACAGATCAGACACTCACAATGGATAGAGTACCGGTGTAGCATGGTTCTTGGGTCACAACAAAATCCCCCGGCTCAATCATCATTTCAAGTGCCTTGCACAAACCATCCTGGCTCCCTGCTGTGACAATGAGATCCGTATCAGCCCATCGTGGTGGCGCATGGAGTCTTTCTGTTAAGGACTTCAGCTTCTTAACCAATGGTGGATACCTGGAAAATCGAGAATATTTGAGGAAAGAATGATCAAAAAGTATATAGTATACAGCATTCAGAAGACCTATTTGTATAGTTTTTAAAATTTATTTAAAAACAAAGTACACAGAGCAAAGTCCAGTATGACTCAGTAATAAGGATGACATACATGAATCTCATTTGTTCTTTAATTTTTACCATGTCAGCTCTAGATGCACTGCTCTCAAACTGGATGTCTATGACAACTCCCATGATAACAGAGGTCCAGCTTCATGAAATAGCTGTTCATTCCAGTTGTTCCCGTCCCACTGTGGTATATGTTGGCTGTTTGTTAAGAAAATATTTGCAATCAACTCTTTTTTTTCTATGTGATCAGAGGTCCTTTGCACAACTTTTACCTCTGTTAGTGCTGCCTTTGCCTAATTAGATGTCCTTTTTAACATCATCCATGATCCCGCACACAGATATGAACACAACCTTCACACTAGACAGTAAGAGGGAACCCATTATGTCATGTTGCCAACATATTACTGTATGTATGTTATCACATATCATATCATATATTATATCCTATTTATCATCTTATATATTACATAGTATTACATAAATATTATATATTTCATATATTAAATTACACAGTATATCATGTACCTTATATGTATACAGATATATACCCGTATACAATTGAATCAGTAAACAGTAAATATCTTAGAAATTTGTAAAACCTATGCTTAATAAATAGTTACATTATAACATGGTACTGTAACTGTCTTGAGTAGGACTGCATAAAGTGACATATGAATAAAAACTGTCTAAAATAATGGAAATGATACTTACAATCATATATATAAATTTGCCTAAGTGAATGATAACTGAACAATTTGATATCTAAAAAATGTAGATACTTGTACATATGCTAAGCAACACCCAATATGTGTATTTTGGCACAATAAAGTTTGCATCTCTGGCAGTTTAAGCAAGACACCAATCCAACCTCAATCTCTCCATAACACAAATAGTGGAGGTTTGTTGATCCTTGCTATAAGAAGGCACATGAATACTAAGGCATCACTTCCTGCAGTCCTATTCTAGCATTACACAAAATATGCAACTCCCTACCTACCCAGCTGTTGGGCCATACTGCAGACAGTCTGTCATAAGCTTTGGATGAATTGTAATCGCTCGGCCGTCCTTCATGGTTATAGAAGCAGCTTGAAAGGGGAACATCTGAGGGTTTGGCAATCCCCCCGCCATGAAGACCAACTCCGGTGATGCATCGGTTAGCAAGTTCGCTGTTATTAGAATTGGTGAATTAATAAGTACTTTCTTTTCAATGTGCATAAACTGACCCATTATCCACTTTCAGTATTCAGTCTACAGAGACAGACTGATAGACAGACAGATAGATAGATATATACATATGCAAAGCTTTTACCATGTTATAAAAACAAGAAACTGAAATAATGGCAATTACTAGATCTTATGCAATAAACTACCATCATCTGCACTGAGAAACTATATATATCTTATGTTTTACAATATCAATTTGATAAGTGCCTTGCATGTATCTCTAAGAACATTAACCAATTCACTTACTTAATTCACGTATCAAAGAAGGCTGCCGATTCTGAGATAATTTTGTTAAAAATCTTGAATAGTTCATTCTGGAAGAAAAGTGAAAAATTAATATGCACAATAATTTAATATCAATGAGGCCCGTATTGAAGAAAATAAAAAATATACAAATCAATAAACAAAATTACAGCTGATTTATATACCAAAAACGTAATATCTTCAGCTGAGATATATGGCACAGACTAGGCCATGAATAAGCCTATAGCCAAAAAAAAATTGACATTAAATTGCAGCTTTAGTACCCGCCCAGTCTGGCCTCAAATTGCAATGGGGTCTTGGAATCAACGGCATGCTATAACACAACATTTCAATTATTAACAAAACCCTGTGATAATCTGTCGTTTTTGGTTCTATGAAATGCAGTATTATTCATTCAACTAAAATTTTTAGAAAAAGAAATTAAAATGAAAGAGCTTGATGGACAGGAGAAGCAAGCACAAGGTCTGCTGCGTCTCCTGGAGGAAAATGTCTGCGCATTAATGAAGCTGTACAAAAATATTTATATCTTTTTATATAAACTTAATGCATTTTACTGCTTCCTTTATTCATTCTATGAACTCCTTCTTTACAGAATGATTCTACCATTTTACCACAGAAAATAATGGCAGTGCTATACTTTAAATACAAATAATAGGATTTTACAATAATTTTCATTTTTTGATATGAATAAACAACCGTAATTATTATCCCCTTTTTATCTAACTTTAATAATGGCAATTTTCACCTTGCTGTAAATCATTTCCTGCATCAATAACACACATTTAAGAATATACAAATACATTTCTAAGAAAAATAAAAACAAAAAATAGTTTATTATAAGGTAATTTACCTCCAAGGTCATTTAAACCATATATTTTAATTTGACATCTTAAACATAGTTCTATTTCCCTCTCCTAAAAATAAATCCCTCGGTATATAAATCCCCGAAATAAACTAGACAAAAAAGAACGTAATTTTAAAACACATTTACGTAAAAAAATAACCGAGTATTTTGAGCTCCGTTTCATCTTTTACATTTCCTTCGCTTCTATATCTCTGGCCTTTTTTGGGAAATAGACTTAAAAATCAGTTCAGTAGACGGAGTAAGACCTCGAGATAACGTAGAGAATGACGAACCTGGATGACAAGAGAGATGAAATAAGAGAAAGCTGGAGAAAATAAGGACGAGCTACCCCGTCCGTCGTCCTTTTTGCACTACGCATGTACCCGTTGATGTATATTATGTGAGTCCGACTTGATTTATTTAATTTCAGAGTTTATTATACTTTATTGTAAAATAAGCTATATGATGGAATGCTGTTTATGTGTAAATATAGACCTTCAGCGAAAGTAAATATTGTAGGGTCGTATCCCCATTTCTGTTAAAGGGAAAATCGATTGTTTACAAACAAGGGTTTCCTCCCACAGGTAGGGTACGGAGGGAAAAAAGGAGGGAAAATGTGACGTTGATATGAATATCCGTGTCTGAGTACTTTCTTAGGATGCAAAGGATGCAGTAGATGTAAAATGGACTGAGGAAAGGGAGAGAAAAAAGTCAAATCCTTAAATATGTTGCCTGTGATGAATGCAGTCCTAGTCTAGAACGTACTTTTCAATTACCATATTGGGATGTCTAAAGTTGGTCTGCTATAGTTTTATATGAATAAATGAACGAGTGATTTTGTCAGAAATCACAGCTATTGGAAATGGCTCAGTTACTATAAGCATTGGGACTGCACAAAAGCCTATCTTACCAGAATATATGTGGCAGTGATTTGGTGAGGTTTGTCACTGATATGTCTTTTCAAGAAATTTAGTTTAGCTATTTCTAAGTATTTGAAGATATCATTAAATCAGTCAGTTCTTTGCTAATCTTGTATTGTTGGTATATTACACAACAGGTCAAAATTTATAGATGATTACCATTTTTTCTTTTACTATCCTTCTGGGAGATTTTATCACCTGCAGTAATTGCCATATGGGAATTACCACAACAGGAATGAGTTCTGTTTTGAGAATTTATGTGATTGTTTCATCATTATTTTCTAAGTGATTCAAACATCAGAAAGTTACATTACTTCTTAAGTTGAAATAGTTAATGATATCAGTAGAAAATATGCTAGAAGTTTATGTTTTTGTTTGTGTGATTACATCTATATTTGTGATTCCCTTTTTTCATCATGCTTATTCTTTGCTTTATTTTACCCACTAGTGTCATAAGTAACTCACACTTGCAGGTAGATGCTAAAGGAAATGGATTTAAATAACAAGGATGGAGAAACTGGGCCTCCGGGGCCCAACAATCGACCACAGGAGCCCCTAGCCAGAGGAATTGTTGATGATGATGATGGACTCAGTGACTTTGGATCCCCAAAACGAGGCCCAACATTGTCCACAAGCACAAGCAGTTTCGAAGCTCTGGACCCTCATGATCCAAATCTCAGTCACCTGGCAACTTTAATGTTTTCACACACATCAAATTACTTACAGGTATTAGAGTTTGAATACTACTTCCTGATCTGAGCTTGAATTATGTAAAACTTTTCTGTTTTGCGTATATTTACACATAGTTACTTATTTGTGCATATCATAACATTGGTACCTTTTTATTAATCTATCCATCTACTTGGGATTGATAAATGCAGCTAATCATGTTTTAGTAATTCTTGTGGTTTCATGCATAGTAATTACTCCCATCACCCAATCTTTCCAAGGGGCCTCCGAAAAAACTAAACATAATACATTTCTGAGATACACATCACATTACATTACTTTGCATTGCATCATATTACATTACATCACAGTAAAGCACACCTCACTACATCACACCACAACACACATGCACAGTTTTCCTCAGTGTTTTGTTGTCCTTTGCTGTAAGTTTTGTCTAATCTGTTTCCTTCCACAGGGAGAGTTGTCTGCAGTCCTTGAGGATTATGCATTACTGGAGCAGATGAACAAGGCAACCATCACCAAATATGCCGATATGCGACAAATAGGAGGAAGCGTCAGTCGAGCACTGAAAGACCTTAATGAAAAGTATTTAGCACTGCAGCCATATCTAGACCAGATAGATCAGATTGAGGATAGTGTAACTAAGCTGGAAGCTGCTGCTTACAAACTTGATGCGTATTCCAAAAGACTAGAAGCAAAATTCAAAAGCTTAGAGAAAAAATAAGTTTTTAAAATGATTCCTGATTATCATTACCTAATTTTATTTGGTTATTGAGCTTCATTAGACGCAGTACTGAAGTTTCTATACTGTAATGTGTATTGCTTCATCTGTTTGTAATTTTACCTATCCACTTGACTACAAGGTAACAAAAATAGAACCCCAGTATTTGTGAAGACTAGAGGATTCACTGGGCCTATAATCCCATGAGAAAAATCAGAATTTGCTTTTGACCAACAATACCCCAAGCCAGAATTCCAGCTAAGGGTGGGAGGTCATTCAGGACAAGTTTTTCACTACGCATGCTTCCATTATCAGGCATTGAAAAGGACCAGGCTACAAAAATGATACATGCAAAAATTATCATGACACAACAGTGACATAGAAATATATATGTATGCACATTACTGTAGTGACATAGAAAAAATATGGTACTTACGAGGTTATGACCAAAAAAAAAAAAAATAGACCAATTCCTATTTCCTCCATGATTCAGGACTGAGAATAGCAATGGAAAATTCAGGGCAATGATGAAGGTGAGAGTATGGAAATACTAGAATATTTGCTTCATATCCACAATAAAAGACCTTGATATGTTACTTTAAAAAATCATAGAAAAGGTAAATGTGATAGCTATATGTAAGTATGCTAGTCTGAAACACCAAATGAGAAGGCACTTGTCAAAGAAACAATTAAATATGTTTTGATCAGTGAATCTTTTATTCAGTAAAATCAGTATCATTCTTAATGGCTCATAATTTATAGCACAAGATAAGCCTTGAATATGTGGAGATGATATTTTAAATAGGCTGTCATATCTCCCCATCTGTCTTTGTGCTTTAGGAGAACATTATATGTGTATATGTTCTTTAAAAACCTACATTTATGCTGTGAAATGATATTCAATAATGTGTAAGCATTATGTTATTGTATTTCATTATATTATTGATATGTAACATAGACAATAGATATTTATATCATATGAAAAATACATTGTGATATTTGTAAGTAATAAACTCTAAAAGATACAATTAGCCATAAGACCATTCTTAATTTCCTTGAAGTAATCATTGTATTGTGTGGGTGTGGGTGTGGGGGAGGGGCACATGCATGCCTGCGTGCGTGTGCATGTGCATGTGTGCGCACATTTGTGTCTATATATTTATTTATTTTAAACATTATATACATGTAAGTATTTGGGTCTCCATTTTGATTAAATTAGATATATGTAGATACATAAAATATGATTTAAGATAACCTGCAAGAAGGAATAATTGTCAGTGAACAGTGATTACAAAGATTTTCAGAATGGCAGGAACTCGGCTGAAAAAGGAGACAACCACACTCAAAGCATCACTTCACCTCCCTTGATTCACCCAAAAAAAATAGAAACCTGGGATGTGAAGACTTCCACTACTATGAGCTATCCCTCAACTGTTCACATCCCCGCCTGTGACTTATCATTGGCAGGAATCCTAGTAAATTGTATTATTGCAATGGTTATATTTCATTTGATCCAGCACAAAGATCAAAAGTAATACAGGTCATAACAGAGACTTCACATCTGCATGAACCCACAAAGGTTAAATCTATGCAGTCACAAGTAATACCTCCCCCCCCAATCAGTGGCTTATTTTTGTCGTTGGTGGCTTAGGAAACCAATGTAAAGAGATTACCCCTACCTTAGGACTCACCCCTCACCTCAACTAATTATGCATGGTCTTTTCTTCTCCATCTCCCCCTTTCCTCTTCCGTATCTTCTTCAGTCCACTTTCTAAGGTGTGAGAGCTGTGCTGAAAGGATGAGAGGCTGGCTTTGTGTCAGTCAAGAACAGCCTCCGGGAGCCATGGGCGCGGTATTCCCTTAGTTAATCGCCTAGCCCTTATCCCTTATAGGAACCTTGAGGGGTTGACCGTTTCTTTTCCCCATTCATTTCAGGCTCACCAAGGACTATAATGAAGATTCTTTACCCTTCATCGAGACAATAATGCTTGCCCCTTCATCAGCTAGCATATCTATATTCTATCCATTCCGAACCACCCATCCAGGTCATTACTCAACCTTCAGAATGCACCCCTTCCTTTCTGCCAACATTCTTCACTCCATCTCCTACTGCACAGTCTTCTTCATTGCCTATCCCTCCCCCCATATTAGTGCTCTTCGTCCTTATCATCCTCCCCACCACTTCGCTACTTCACTTCACACCACCCGACCTTCCTCTTGCCCTCGTCCTTCTACTGATTCTACTCTAAAATAGGCAAAGCGTCCTTTCGCAGTCGCTCTCTTCACGCCTTGTCGCGGTTTCATTTGAGTCCCAAACTCGTACACAATCTACCCTGACTGATCTCACTGGCAAACCTATTCCTGCCGAACCTCCTCTCTTAATACTTGTACTGAAAACGATCTACTAGCCTGCGTTGTTGATTATGATGCAGTGGCAGTATAGTTCTACCGGTGGCAGAGCCACTGGGGGAATGGGGGGGGGGTCCGGACCCCCCCAGTTTTGAATGTACATTCACTCATTTTGTGATAAAAGTGTTTTAATTTAATTTGGAACTTTCCGACTTTTAGTACCAAATGTTTATTAAACATTTTCTTAATTTCTGGGCAAAGAAATAAGAAACAAATTGAGAACCCTCAGTATTAAATGGGGAAAAATTTCGAATGATAATGAGAAACTTTTAAAAACTAATTCAAGATTCTGATAAATAAAATACTTGTAGAAGAAAAGAGTGTTCCACATAAGATTTTTTTAGATGGGCGTTTCCGCAAGGAAAAAGGGCGGGGACCTCTATACCGCTGCGCAACGTTGAGACTACATTGGACCCCCTACCTTTCGAGGATGGCTCCGCTGTTGAGTGCTACATCATTCCTCCCAGAAGGCAGCGTAAGTCTAGCACCAGTATTGCCAAGATTAGCCTCCGTAGACATGACCTTCCCCATGCAGTTTATTAGTGGAGTGTCCGACCATATTGACCCCTTTCTCGTCAATGTCGGAAGTGTTGGCATTTTGGTCACCCGGCGAAACACTGTCACTCAACAGCCAGCTGCCCTCTTTGTGCCCAACCAGTTCAAATTGCTCTGCTCAGTCACGTATATGTGCCAATTGTGGTGGCTCCCATCATGTATTTTATAAGAGCTGCCCTGCCTATAAGCTCGAATGTGAGGTAGCAGGTCTCAGATTCAAACTAGGCTTCACTCTACGTGAGACCAGACAAGAAGAACGACGACGAGGTTTTTCTTACTCTACCTATTCCAAAACTGCCCTTCGCTCTGCTCCTCTCCCATCTCCAGATGACTCAGCATCTCCCCCAGTATCTCTTCCCCCAACCCCGATCCATTCTACCTCTAATCCCCAGCTCCCTCAATTAAACTCCTTTCTCAATCTCAGTATCTTAATAAGTTCGACGCTTTTCTAGTCTAAATTCAGATACTTCAATCTCTACCACTTCCCCGACGCCTTTCCTCTTTCTCACTTTCCCTATCGCAAACGCGATTCTTCCGTACACGGATCCGTGTATCTAAACCCGAAAGTCATTCCTACGTCCACGGAGATCCGTGTACCGATTCACGGATCCGTGTACGGAAGGGTGATTTCTCACCATCCGTACACGGATCTCCGTGTACCAAAACCAAACCTTATTTTTCCGTACACGGATCCGCATCCGTGTACCTAAATCCGAAAGTGATTCCTACGTCCACGGAGAACCGTTTACCGATTCCTAACACGCGGAGCATGGAGACCTCCATGCACGGAGATCCGCGTGTACCGAAAATGACCTCCCAACCTGACCTGACCCATCCTACGTCCACGGAGATCCGTGTACCGATTCCTAGCATATGCGCACATCAGCGCCTCAGTGTACAGAGTTGGCTGTTGGCCACCGGGGCCCGGCTTCAGTAAGCTGTTCGCCCTTTGCACTGTCCGTGCATCTCGTTTCGTAAATCGACATCTATCTTCCTCGAACTTCTTTAATTTGACACCGAATTCGTCAAAATTTAAAATATCTAACGCATTTCGATTGGCTGGTTTGGCTCGCCTATTTCCGTCATATCCGTGTACCGATTCCGTACTTTTGGACTAATGTACACGGATATCCGGTCATTTTATCTTTCTCTTCTTTATCCTTTTCTCCACAATACTTTATCAGAATGCTACATGACCTTTGATGTCTAGCACAATTATTTGTTTCAATTATTAATCAAGCGATAAGTCTAAATGAAAAAAATAAATGCAAAGCATCTCAATATACACCACATTGTACTCACGTTATTGTTGATATTCAAATTAAAACAGAAATTAAAGTTCCAAGTTTTCCTGAAATAAATATTCATTCCCCACATTTCCTTCAGTCGTAATATCAATTTAGTTGTGTGCTGGTTCAGTATATTACAGTATTCTGACTCCTAGAATAGCTCATTTTTCAAAAAGAAGAAAAATACAGTTATGAACTGATTGCGGTCATTTCGCTACCCCCCCCCCCCAGAAAAAGCTGAAATGTCGCTATTTTTTAATTACTCAACAGAAATTAAACTAGTTAGGGTAGATATTCAGAGAGCTTTCTCTGGTTATTTGTCTATATATATATATATATATATATATATATATATTATATATATATATATATATATTTATTTGTCTAATTACCTTTCCATATATCACTGCATTGATACTTAGCAATATTCCCAGATGTTAAACGTGCCTTTTTTTTTTTTTTTTTTTTTAAGACAGAACACTATAATGTCTATAAGTAATGAATCATTACTTCCGAGATTCTCAACCCCTTCCCTATTCATCTATCTATTGATCTACCTATCTATTTTTTTGTCTGTCTGTCTGTCTATTTGTCTGTATATCAGCTGGCAAAATGAACAGTGGTGCATTGATGCTTAGCAAGACCTCCAAACTTCAAAGATGCATTTTGTACTTTATAACCAATATTATTATCATTATTTGAGACAGAAAAAAAGCACATAATACTATAATATCTATTAGTATTGAATGGTCCCTTCTCTCAAACAGAGTTTTGATTGGTATTAGTACAGTAAGCGACCGACTCCCCCCCCCCCATCCCCACAAGCAGCTGTCTCGTTGTTGTTCGAAGCCAACGACAATTTCCGAAGCTCCATTTCTCCTTCAAATTTCGTGCAAGACGACGATTTCGCCAAGATTTTCCAACTTTAACGATGGCCATTAGAGCCCGCCGGTGAAAATACGTGGCGTAAGCAGTCGGAAATGGCATTAATGCTGCGTTTTAGGCAATGATCAGCTCCTGTCCTGGCTGAAGAGGAAAAAAGCGGCTGCGATGTCGGAGATAAATAAAAAAGTCAAAAACGGTCCAGGTTAGTTTAGAAGATTTCCTGAGAATTCTGAGTGGGTCCAAGAAGCTGTTGGGTATAAGTATGTAATTGTGCAAGAGTTTGTGCCCGAGGGAAGTTCCTTTAAGAGCATGAAAAGGTTTTAAAAGAACAAACTAAGAAGTCTCAAAGATGACAATCTTGACTCCCATTCAATAGAGCTTAGGCTGGTAAGTATGAGTATTACTCCTACACTTACTAACAGACAGTAGGACGCGCAAAATATGAACAATATTGCTAAGGAAATCAGGCAGGTGCAAGAAGTGACTAGGCTTGAGGCATCCTTGTTTTATGCTCCAGCCAGCACCAACAGACATCCACTGCATAAATTAGAGGAAAATAGAGATTGGAATGGTTTCTGGTCAGATGATACGTATGCCAGGACGTGCAAGCTCTATTTTGCTGTGTGTATGTAATGGAAGTCTTTAGCCTGCAATATATGGAGCTCATGGTATTTGCTTGTTGTACAGGTTGGCCAACTTTGGTAACGGTGCAGTGACTTGCATTTACAGGTTGTTTTTGATACCCAGTGGTGTTGTTTTATTTGTTCATTACTCCTCTGCACTTGGGGGGGCAAAAGTCTGCCACATATATTTTGGCAGGACAGAGTGTATAGGCCTATCTAAAAAGTTATTGTCATGGTAGAAATCAGGGCAAGCCAAGGATCTTCCCAGAATTCACATAGGGAAGGTATTTTGTTAATGAGATCACTTGAGTCTCATCTTGTGTATCAATTTTACTGAACCTAGATGGACTTATTCACTTTCTTTATGTACTGTGGTTGATCCTGAACTGACACTGTACTGTAGATTCTAGATGAAAGTGCAGTGTTTGTATAGGCCTACTATACAGTGGGGAGTCATTCCCTAAGGGCTACAGTGATAAAAAAGCACAAGCACAAGTTTCATGTGATAAAGTTATTCATAGCCTATCCAAAATAAGAATGTAAAGCAATGGAAAATAATGAATTCAATGGTCATACATAACATAAAACAACACTGTTACCTATAAAAGCAATCTCCAGAGAGGAAATATAACCTGCAGTAACTCATCACCATCAAATGATATTATGACCTGCATTTATATTCCGGTGAAAAAAGAACTTTCCTGGTGCTTCATTGTAGAATAAAGCACTAGTCAAAGGTCTTTCTTTCTTTCTTTCTTTCTTTCTTTCTTTCTTTCTTTCTTTCTTTCTTTCTTTCTTTCTTTCTTTCTTTTTCTTTCTTTCTTCTCTTTCTTTCTTTCTCTTCTTTCTCTCTCTCTCTCTCTCTCTCTCTCTCTCTCTCTCTCTCTCTCTCTCTCTCTCCTCTCTCTCTCTCTCTCCTCTCTCTCTCTCTCTCTCTCTCTCTCTCTCTCTCTCTCTCTCTCTCTCTCTCTCTGTCTCTGTGTGTGTGTGTCTCTCTCTCTGTCCCTGTGTGTGTGTCTCTCTCTCTGTCTCTGTGTGTGTGTCCCTTTCTCTCGTCTGTCTGCGTGTGTGTTTGTCTCTCGGTCTCTNAGTCCGGTGGAAGGTGATACCATCCATCCCCTTATCACGGGTCTGCACCACCCCCCGTTGGACATACCCAAGCTGGCCAGGGCCGAGGTAAGGATCTTGAAAGACGTGGTGTGGGAGTTCCATGTTAGCCAAGTGTACATATCTTTCTTTTTTCACTTTTTTCCCCTTTCTTTTTTGTCTTTAACACTTGTTACTATGTGCTAATGAAATGTTAAAACTTAGATTACAATAAAATTGTAATAAGGCCTTAGTGCTAAGAATTCCATTCGTGCCCTGTCTTAGTATTTCAATCTTGTGTACAAAAGATATGATGGTGACATTGGGAGATAGAGAAAAAATAAAACAAAATAATAATAATAGCAACTAGAAGCACTTTTGGTCCCATTTTTTCTCATATCTACTTTTCAAGACTACTATCCTAGTAAAAAGCATTAATCATTGTTCTTAATATGTACCAC